TCAGGTACTGGCTCCAATACTTGGATAATTGACACTGGTGCTTCTGATCATATGACTTATGATGCTAAATTTTTTGATGAGTTGTCTAGTAACACCCGTGACCCATACATAACTAGTGCTAATGGCTTGCCCTCTCCAATTACTAGTGAGGGCACAATCTCTCTCACTCCTACTTTGTCCTTATCTCGTGCGTTACTAGTTCCCAATATCTATTGTAACTTGTTATTTGTTGGTCGATTACTTGATACACTTAATACTTCTGCTACTTTCTATCCTACGCATTGCACTTTTCAGGATCTCAAGACTCACGAGACGATTGAGCATGGTAAACGGATAGGGGGGTTATATTATTTGACATTGCCTTCTGCACCAGTTCGTGATCGTGTCGTTAATACTGTTCAAAGTTGCAGTGTCAAAGACAAACAACATATTTGGTTATGGCATCGTCACTTGGGACACCTGTCATTTGGCTACCTTAAGCGTCTGTTTCCATCTTTATTCCGCTCTTGTGATGAGTCAAGTTTTAAGTGTGAGACATGTATTTTGGCCAAGAGTCATCGCACTGTGTTTCCTTTGAGTGACAGTAAAGCTGCAAAGCCTTTTGATTTAGTGCATTCTGATGTATGGGGTCCGCTCGTGTTACTTCGAACGGATTTCGTTGGTTCGTCACATTTATTGATGATTGTACCCGACTTACTTGGGTTACTGAAAAATAAACATGATGTTGCTTCCATCCTTCCAGAGTTCTGTACTATGGTGTCTACTCAGTTTCATGCTCAGGTCAAAGTATTCCGGACTGATAACAGAGGCGAATATGTGAATAACACTTTGACATCTTTCTTCCGTGCTCAAGGTATTATTCACCAAATGACAACCTGATTTACTCCTCAGCAGAATGGTGTGTCTGAACACAAGAATAATCAGTTACTTGAAGTTGCCCGCTCCCTTATGTTGGACATGTCTGTTCCCCATCATCTTTGGGGGCATGCTGTTTTATCTGCTGCCTATTTGATTAATCATACACCTAGCCGGGTTCTTAATTTTAAGACTCCACATGATGTGTTTGGTGACCATGTTTCCCCTGTCTAAGTCTTCAAGTTGCCCCCTAAAGTCTTTGGGTGTGTTGCATATGTTCATGTCTACTCTCATCAACGGAGTAAACTTAATCCTTGTGCTCTACGATGTGTTTTTATTGGTTACTCGTCTATTTAGAAAGGTTATAAGTGCTATCATCTACCTACCCAGAAGGTGCATGTTACTTTGGACGCGACTTTCCATGAAGAAGTGTCCTATTATGTATCTCCCTCCTCTCCAATTCAGCGGGAGATGGGGAGTGAATTGGAGAGTCTTGGATTGGATAATGATGTGTTTGAAGATGCTGCTCTTGGGAAGGAAACGACCTGTCGCATTGAAGCAAGTGACCGGTCACCCATATATGAAGACGAAACTTGTGGTCCCTGTGAAGAAACTACTAATTGCCCTTTGGAACTCGATCAGTCGCCCATATCTAGAGATGAAGCAGGTGCTCTCGGTGTCACTGAAGAAAGTGACCAGTCGCCTGTATCTGAAAAATAATGACAGTGATTCTTGTATGGATGAGTTCGATGTAATACCCCCTTCTGCCTTGCCATTGCCCCAATCTACTCATGATAGTGAATCAAGTGAGGTAATTTTTAATGATCTACCTGTGTCAACTTATCAATTACCCCCACGAACCACTCGTGGGAAACCTAAAGTACAATATTCTCCTGATATACATGTCAAGTCTAAGTATCCTATTAGCCATTTTGTGTCAACTCATCGTTTGTCTAAGTCATATGCATCATATTTGTGTCAATTATGTAGTGTATGTGTGCCAACTAAGCTGCAGGATGCTTTATCTAACCCAAAATGGATGGATGCCATGAATGTTGAAATGGATGCCTTGAACAAGAATAAAACATGAGATTTAGTTCCTTTGCCACGAGGGAAGAAAGCTGTTGGATGCAGATGAGTGTTTACTTTGAAGCATAAAGCTGATGGTTTCATTGACCGTTACAAGGCTAGATTGGTAGCAAAGGGTTATACTCAGACCTATGGAGTGGATTATTTGGAGACCTTTGCTCCAGTGGCAAAGCTCAATAATGTGCGTGTACTATTGTCCTTAGCTGCTAACCGCGACTGGCCCTTATTACAATTCGATGTCAAAAATGCATTTCTACATGGTGACCTCAAAGAGGAGATTTATATGGATCTCCCTCCTGGTATTCCTGTAACCTCTAAGGAGGGTGTTGTGTGTAAGTTGCGGAAGTCTTTATATGGATTAAAGCAGTCCCCATGAGCGTGGTTTGAGAGATTTACAGCATCTATGAAGAAATTTGGGTATGTACAGAGTAACTCAGATGTGCGTGTACTATTGTCCTTAGCTGCTAACCGCGACTGGCCCTTATTACAATTCGATGTCAAAAATGCATTTCTACATGGGGACCTCAAAGAGGAGATTTATATGGATCTCCCTCCTGGTATTCCTGTAACCTCTAAGGAGGGTGTTGTGTGTAAGTTGCGGAAGTCTTTATATGGATTAAAGCAGTCCCCATGAGCGTGGTTTGAGAGATTTACAGCATCTATGAAGAAATTTGGGTATGTACAGAGTAACTCAGACCATACTTTGTTTCTAAAGCGTCATAAATGTAAATTGACAGCTTTAATTATTTATGTTAATGATATGATTGTGACTGGAGATGATCAGGCAGAAATGCAAAATCTTCAGAAGTATCTGGCTTCCGAGTTTGAGATGAAGTCATTGGGTAATTTGAAGTACTTTCTTGGGATTGAAGTTGCTAGATCTAAACATGATATTTTTCTGTCTCAAAGAAAATATATTTTGGATTTACTTGCAGAGACTGGAATGTTAGATTGTAAACCAATTGATACCCATAGTGAACAGAATCATAAGTTGGGGTTGTATCCTGATCAAGTCCCTACAGATAAAGAGCGTTATCAACGACTTGTGGGGAAATTGATTTATTTATCTCATACACGTCCTGATATTGCATATGCAGTGAGTATAGTGAGTCAGTTTATGTATTCTCCTAGTGAAGATCATATAGGTGCTGTGATGCGCATATTGAGGTATCTGAAAGTAACTCCTGAAAAAGGGTTAATGTTTTCCAAGTATGGTCATACAGATGTTGAAGGATACACCGATGCTGATTGGGTAGGTTCTGCTACTGATAGACATTCTACGTCTGGGTATTTTACGTTTGTTTGTGGTAATCTTGTTACTTAGAGAAGCAAGAAACAAAAGGTGGTGTCTCGATCTAGTGCTGAGGTCGAGTATCGTGGAATGGCCCATGGTGTATGTGAGTTACTATGGTTGAGGAGATTATTGAGAAATCTTGGCTTTGGGCCTAAGAAACCTATGGATTTATATTGCGATAATAAGGCTGCGATTGCAATTGCTCATAACCATGTACAACATGATCGTACAAAGCATGTGGAGGTTGATCAAAATTTCATTAAAGAAAAGTTGGATGCGGAGATTGTTTCCTTCCCATTCATCAGTTCTGAGTATCAGTTAGCAGATGTCCTTATGAAAGCTCTTTCTACTAGTATCTTCCACAACTCGCTTGACAAGTTGGGCATGCGTGACATCTTTGCTCCAACTTGAGGGGGAGTATTGTCCAGATATCCTAGTCTTATTAGGATATTTCTTTCTTATTCTATTAGGATTTAATTTGTTTCTTTTTTGTACAGATATTATGTAATTATGACTTTTCTTATTTCCTAGTATAACCCTACTAGGGTTTGTAACCTTGTATTATAAATACCTCCTTTCGGAGAATGAAATACATCTGAAAAATATTCTACCCATATTGTTTGACTTATAACTCATTATATCCTTTGATTAGGTGTATCATTTTTTGTTATCAATGAAATTCGCTCGCGCAATCGAGTTTTTTAATAAGTTAAATCCAGGCCAGTTCATTTTAAAATCATGAATACGTCCATGATGACACCTTGATCGTGTGTTAGAAAGAAAAGAAAAAAAAAAATCATCAGCAAAGTGTTATCTAACAATTTGCACTCAACATCTCCATCTCTTACAAAATCAATCCAATGGAACCTTTTGCCGGTAGAGAGATCCACGTCAGTTTGAAGCTGTACGGGTGGAGTTGTTGGACGGTCAATCCAATGACGAGTTCTATTGAAGCTTGTAATCAAATCTAACATAATTGGACCTTTTCGTTATGGCCCTTATACTTTTCTGCATTTCTTCTAAAGTGCTTCTTATTTGCAAAAATCTCGTTTTGCCACCCAAAAACGCATGTCATGTAAGTTTAAATATTGCTTTGGATAGTTAGAAAGTTAAAAAAGCCTCATATAAAAAATACTTTGATTTAGAATGTGCCAACAACTTACATGAATTAGGTGTTTTATATTTTTTTACGATTTTTTTTTCCTTTAGGTATAGGAAAGTTGCATTTTTCAGTTCAAGTAATGCACCTTCTTTTGTTTCTTTTGATGAGTTAGGTGGTGTGCTACTTGATTATAGATTTCACCAATAATGGCATAAAAGAAACCATACTTACTTTTCATGAGATGTACCTTGCCATTTGTCATTTCTTTGTCAGACTTTAGTTTACTTTAGCTCAATTTATTTAGATGGAAAATGCAAAAAGTTGATAAAACCTAAAAACGATTTTCAACCAAATTATTGCTAATTGCTAGAGGCAGACGCGGACTTAGTTAAGTTGACTAGAGCGGATGTGCACCGTATTCGGCTCTGAATTTGAATCTCCCTTCTCGTAGTTTAGATTAGATTAAAGTAGAATATTAGTTGTATCAACAAAATAAAAATAAAAATTGCTAATTGGTAGAGAATATTTCTTATTGATTATATTTAAGGCTTCAACCTGGCAATGGCATTAAAGGCTAAAAAGTTTATTTCTTGTTTAGTTTTTGGTAAGAAAACTGCAAACTAGCGGTTGCTGGCTTGCCTTGCCAACAATAATCCAAAAGTAAAGGAGCAAATGATAAAAAGAGATCAAAAGAAATTTAGAGATTATATAAATGTGAACTGAGTTTTGATTCCATCAAACCAAAGCGTGTGAATCGGTTTAATTGCTGAGTTTTCTGAACTTTTCATCTTTCTCCTCCTAAAATTCTTTACTTTGACCCTTTACTCTTTCATTCTCTCTTTGCAGCACTTTTCTAGGGTTCCTTTCTTCTTCTTCTTCATCCACAATCATTCTTCTCCTCCTTCATAAAGTCACTCCTTCTGTACCGTTCTCTGTGTCCACGTTCTCTCGCTTAGTACACTGTTCAAAATGGCCTCTTTCGCTCCCTCTTCTTCTCTGAATCCGAAACCCGTTTCAGCTCTATCTTTTTCTTCTCCAGATGTTGTTGATGACAGCTATGAAGACTCCTGCAGTATCTGCCTTGAGCCTTTCAACTGCGATGACCCAGCCACTGTATGATCCTTTAATAACTGAATTTTTATGTATTTTTGTAGAACTCAGTAGTTTATGCATACCCAACTGACAGTCTCACTGTATCAGTCTTGTAGTGCTGATCATAATGTTGAAATTTAAATTACATGTGGTACTGTCACAGTTGAAAAAACTCTGATTTTATGTTCTTACAGTTGCTTTTGAATTATTAGCTGATTGTTTGCTTCTTTCTGGTAGCTGAAATAAACTGCGATCTATCTATTGTCAGTTTTGGTGGATGTGTTTTTCAGTATAATTTTAAGCTCCATTGGCTTCTCTGGAAAATATTCGATATGGGATAATCTGTAATCTTGTGTTTCTTTGAAATTCTGTTGTGGATGCATGGTTTGATATGTTATTATCAAAACGCATTTGAAATTTAGTCTTCGCCTCCCCTGCTTGAGTAAAATAGATTATTTTTCAACTCAATCTTTAGGATTCATTTGTGGGATTAAATGGAAATGAAACGGTAGGAATGCACTTAGTTTTGGAATGTGTTTTTGAGACCCATTTGCACTTCATTCTATTTGCTAATTGTATGGCAACAATAATATTTATTCCTTGTAAAAAGAAGTCATCGGTGATATGAGGATGTGCTCTGATGATTGTGATCATTCTATTTTGCAAAAACTGGCTATCGTATAGAGGATCACTGAAGCGTACGATGGATATTAGACATCCCTTGTTGCAAAATACGTGCTTTGTCTGAAAGTGTTGTAGCTAGCTTACAGTGAATCGTAGGTTCAGATGTTAAACTGAGTGTTAACTCTTAGAATTTCTTTTGTTTCAGATTACCAGCTGCAAACATGAATATCATCTTCACTGTATTTTAGAATGGTAATCCCAATTTACTTTATGTATGGGTTTTGTCTTATTTAACTTGCCAAGTAATACTTTAATTTTGTCCTCCAGCCATGTAAGTTGTGATTGAGTATTTCTTTGGTGAGAATGATTTTTTTTTCTTATTGATCTTGATCTTCCTTTAGGTCACAAAGAAGTAAAGAATGCCCAATTTGTTGGCAGTTACTTGTCTTGAAGGATCCTGCTTGGTATGGAATCTTCTAAAATTCATGCATGCGTCACTTCTTGATTTCTTTCTGCTATGTTCCAATTAATTATTTTGTGGTGTAGTCAAGGGCTTCTAGATGCTGTACAAAATGAGAGGCGCTCAAGGTCCAGAAAAATATCTTCCATGGCCCCCCAGGCTTTTCAACATTCCTATGAGGACTTTGATGTTGAGCACGTAAGATCTTAGTGACATATAATAAATTTGTAACGCTTAATTATTCTTCGTTGAGAACGGGTCTTTCATTGACGAAAAAAATTGAATTTTCAGGACTCTTTCTCAGATGACTCTGATTTGGATGAGCGTATTATGCAGCATCTTGCTGCTGCTTCAAGCAGAGCTCGTTACATTCGCAGACGGGAAAAACAGAGATCTTCTGGCCTAGGTCCTTCCCATGTTTTTATTTTCTCCCCTCATGAAAATGGGAGTGGTATGCAGCAAACATACCCAACGTCTCCAGAAGAATGCCAAAGTTATGGGTCACCCAGAGGTGATTCACCTACTTCTCAAAGGCCACCTGTTATTCAACCTCCACCATCTTTTATCTGCAGCACTGCCGCCAATAGTGATGTCCCTTACAAACCAAGGTATGCACCTAGGGCTAAAAAGTATTTCCCTCATGTGGAAGTGCATGAATTTATTTTTTGGTGCCACATACTCTAGAAGTGGATATATGTTCCAGGAAGCTCGCGAATTCAAAATTAGTTGTCAGAGCAATAAACTGCTTTGTCTTAATCACCTGGAATGCATTTTGCACCAATATAGTGCTAAGTGTTCTTGCTTACATCACATGTATATGATCTAGACGTGGTTCATCTTCTCCATTGTCCACAGTATTGTATTCATCTCCTTTTCATCTTCCTGTGGCTTACCACTTCTTTGTTATTCTAGAGTGCTTTATGGCCAGTCATCACCTGATGGTCCACGCAGACAAAGCCCATCTGAGATGATCAATTTGCCTGATTCTATCAAATCCAAGTTGTCTGCTGCCTCAGCCAGGTAGAAATTATACTACCATGCTTCACTTCAAAGTGGATGTTTACTCCTTTCATCTGTTTAATACTTACATGCATATATGGTGATTGTGAAAGATACAAAGAGTCAATCTCTAGAAGCACTCGAGGCTTTAAGGAGAAGCTAGTTGCTCGTAACAACTCAGTCAAGGAGCTCAGCAAAGGAGTTCAGCGTGAGATGAGTGCAGGAATTGCTGGTGTTGCACGAATGTTTGAGCGCCTAGACCTTACCCCAAAGAAACCTGGAGCCCCCACTCCAGTTTCTGGTTGTAATGGAGGCACTTCAAATTTCAAGGGAAAAGGTGTGCTAGAGAATGTTATTGTTCAGTCTTGTAACAAAAGTAGCGGGAGAATCGCTGATGAGAGTTCAGATGGACCCTCTCACATCACAGTTGCTGCACCAGGCCGTGTTGGTGTTGAAGTTTCTTCTGCGCAGGTATCATAAATTTACATTTTGGAACATTTTTTTCATTCATTAGTTGGTAATTAATAGTGAAGATATGAAACTATGTTCAAAAATAGAAAGAACAAGATTTTGATCCTCATCGCCCTCCTTGAAGCAAAATTAATAGCAACAATTTGCAGAATCATCCCATTTATCCGAACTTTATTTGCTTTTGTATTATGTGACTAACTTGTACCCGCTTTTCTCACAGAGCGAACACTGATACAATGAAGTTTGTATTTGGCTCCTCGACTGATAGTTTCTGTCTTAACTCTCAAGCGTAAGGCACATGTTTTACCTCTCAAGCATTAGGCATATCAGCAAGTGACGTTATGCGAAGATCCAAGCTGCTGGTTGGTTTTGCGTCCTGCATTGCCTATTTATGCGAAATACAAACCATAGTTCCATATGGATGAGTTATTTGTCCTGCCCTACAATTTTTTTCCTTTGTTGCTTAGTATTAAAGGGATTCTGGGGGAATTCTGTGCCAGTTGCCTCAGGCCGTCAACTGTTTAAACTTATTTTATTATAATATACTGTGTTTTGCTTCTTTGTTGAATCTTGTTTAATTCTCATACCCGTTATTGAAATTTTAACTTATTTTTGTTGAAAAAAGGGGCTAGAAACCCCATTCGAAAAATTAAAGGAAAATAGGCAGCTTTGCCCCTGGCTCTAATGTTTTATTCAACAATTGATGGCTTGACTGTGACCCGAGCAGAGGTGGACGACGCTGCTGAATTGTTGTAGTTACTGCTGCTGTTGGTGGTGTTGGCGGTGGCTAATGGTGTGGATGAGGAAGATGGGTCCTTGGACCCAAGAAAAGAAGAATGTGGAGAATTGGGAATTAGGGCTGGGAATCAGTTGGAGAGAGAGATGCATAATTGGAGTTTCATCTAAGATAGAGCATAGCATAGAAGAGAAGAAGAAGTGAAGAATAAAGCAATTTGGGGTTTCATCTTAACTTAAGAGAGAGCAGAGAAGAAGAAGAATTTCACACAACCAAAAAAAAGAGTTATAAAAAGGTGATAAGGAATAAGTAGCCTTTATAGAGGGTGTTTTTGAATGAGTTTCAAAAAGAGGGCATTGTTGAATAAAACATTGGAGCCGGGGCAAAGCCGCCTATTTCGCAAAATTAAACAATGGGTAGAGAGACCAGCTCAAGACAGAAACCCAAGTCAGCTAATCTTTGAATAGAACAGACAACTAACTTGGCATCCCAAAAACATAGTAGCAAGAGAATGAAATCTTCCACAACTTCATAGATAAGCCGCACCGCAATGCTGCATTGTAGCCCATATCCCAAGCAATTCTGAGCCCAAAATAGATTCTCATGTCATAACTCAGCTTCTAAGACTTGACCATAACCAAGATTAGCAGCAAACCTACTGCCCAGAGCTCTTTTAGAACACCACCACCAGCAAAGCGACCTCCTTTTCTGTGCTAATTTTAATCACTCCAATTGAGAATTGCCAAGAGAATGGCCAAAGAGCGCACGGGTTTCTTAGATTTTCAGTATTGGCATTTTGCCAATCTGCAGCAGCCACAATAATTATATGCAAGCGATATTGGAAGAGAGGAATTCGAACACAAGACATTTGGTGCATGGATAATTGCTCTTAACCACTTGAAAGCTACAAGCCCTTAACGTTGATTAATCGTTCTTTGTTGTTCAAAATGAATAATTCCATTCTAGACTAATTTGCTCTCTCTCCCAAAGTCCAAAAAGATACAACGGTAGACAATGGTATGATAATCTAGGGAAACGTTAATGGCAAAATCTTGGCACAATGGTGGAAGCAGGCGTGTAAGTGCAAATTTATACTATGCCTTTGCTAAACTAGCATGGTCATAAAGAGAGGTCCACGACTTATTTCCAAACAGCACAGACTACAGAGGTCCTCGAGTAATTGTTTCAAATTCAAAATCTTAACAGCACGAAGTTATTAATTTCCGTCAAAACTAAGGTAGCTCTAGATCTGTCCCAAAATAACATCCCCTCCAGAAACCTTGAAGTCTGATGGGACTTCCTCCACATTTAGAACTTTAACCTTCCCGTCAACCACATATGCCGACCATCTGCATAATGAGAGAGCAAATTTCTTCAAAACTGGGAAATTTTAACGGCTATAGTATACACTGTCAGACTGGATAAAACCGAGGGAGGGTGACCCTTAAAAGAAGTAAGAGAAAAGGGGAGGGTGTGGATAAAACGACTAGTGATCATACCTTTGAGAGCGAGGTCCAAGCAAAGCACCAGAGAGATCTTTATCCAATTCCAAGCTTTTGTGGAAGCTCCCATCAAAGTCCCCATAGAACTCAATCTATTTAGCCAAATTACAAATAATTAAAATGATGCTGCACTAATTACATGGAAACAATAATTCACTATTGCGTCAAATCGCACTATTGCTAGACTTTGGAGGAATTTCCAAATGCAGTATGTAACTGTGTACAAGCACAATCAGTTATCAAACTTAAATGTGACCTAGCCTGCCGAAGATGGCCGGTCCCTTATTTTCTTAAATTACTCGAGACAATTTAAAAAAAGAAAACTTCACACAGAAAGATTTTAAAAAAACCTGATCGTTCTCCAAGTTATCCTTGAGACAGACCCATGAAATGAAATATATTATAACTGCTCAGTACAAGGACTATGATTAACTACAATTCGAAATACGATTTTGGAAATTATGATCCATGAGTCATGAGGCCAGTGGCCCCGCATCTACAACCTAGGCAAGAAAGACATCCATTTATATACTTTTTGCTTGAAATTCAAGTCACTAAGAGCAGTGTAGATTAAAAACATACTTATTTTGGGAAATAAGATGATGGTACTTAATAAAAGGAATAACTTACAGCATCTATGGCTTCAAGTTTGTTTGCCCAGCCATTCATAACATATGGATCATTAACAGCTACGCAAATCACAGAATCGATCCCTTTAGCCTTAAACTTATCAATTTGCTTCTTGTAACTAGGCACATGCTGCTGAGAACAAACGCCCGTGAAGGCACCCTGACATATTGCAAACAAAAAACCCATGTAAATTCCTCTTTCTACGAACATCTAGAATTCAGAAATTCATGCTTTTGATTCATATTTTATTCAATATTTTAGGGTTTCGCTAAAACTAAATGGGGCTTGTCAATGTCAGTATAAACGTGAAAAAAACCACCAGTAACCACTACATCAAATTAAGAACCCATGATATAAATAGAGAGAGGAACTTACAGGGAGGCCAAAGATGACGACTTTCTTGTCCTGAAACACAAAATTTCACAAAAAAAGACAACAAATTTGAGCCTCCAAAGAGCTTGACAATTTACTTAATTGTAAAGTAAATAGAAATACAAAATCAAAAACAAAAACCTTGAAAATGTCTTTGAGAGGAGTGGTGGCGAAATTCGAGGAGACGCCTTCGTCCCAGGTCCGAGCTTTCTGGAGGGAAACATTAGGTGCTGCCGAGACTATGTCGGTTCCGGCTGCAACCGCCGCGTAGGCTCTTGATTGAGCTCCCATTTGGAAACCTCCGGCCACTGATTTCATTGCAGAGTAGCTTGCTCGCTTCAGAAGTGTAGACGCCATTGCTTCGCAGCTGCTGTGTTCTCCGAGTGGTAGCTTTGGTTCGTTGGTTCGTTGGTTCGTAGTTTGTAAGTTGTTCTACGATTCAGGAGACGGTGGTAGCTGTATTTCATTGCATTGGCAGATGGTAATTACGGTCTGTCGGAGGATCCTAACGGTCTTTACTAGGGGTGGCATTTTAAACCGAAAAACCGCAAAAATCAACCGATAATTTACCGCAATGAAACCGCAATCGCGGTAAACCGAACCGCATTTGCGGTATTAAGAACCGAACCGCATTTGCGGTTGCGGTTGCGGTATTTGATTTTCAAAACTTGCGGTTACCGCAAACCGCAAAGTATAGCCACACGGATGATGAAGTTGAATTTTACAAGGAAAT